GCCTGCTCCAGCGCTCCCGCCGCAGGTGAGGCTCGCTGGCCCCGCGCCGGGTCGGACCGGAGACCTGAGCCCCCGCGGGCGCTCCGCTCGGCGCCCGGGGCGCACTGGGAGTCTGCGCGGTTCCGGACCGGCAGTTGCGGCCGCAGACCTCCAGCGAGTCCCAGGGGGCGAGTGTGCAACTTCTGGAAAGGGAGTTTCTCAGCCCCGTTCGGAGCCTGGGATCCGGTGTTCCGGACCGGATTTCCAGGCTTGCGCTGGGACGCGGCAACGGGGTTCGGGGCGCCGGACGCGGGCGAGGGTGGGCGGAGGAGAAGGTAGCGAGGCCATCCGCAGTGATTATGTAATGGTCGATAATCCTTTGGGGGAACTTCTCTCACACCTCTTTGGTCGCCGGGCTGCATTATCCGCCGCCACCAAAAGTTCTAAATTCACTGAAGGCTTGGCTTGGAAAGAAAATTCGATTTTGTTTGTAAAGCAGGAAGGCTCCCCTGGAGGAAGCTGACCTTCAGCTCCTCACGAACTGAACTGCTTTTGTAAAAAAAGCACTGGGGCTGGGGTCGGGACACGGATCAGCTAGACTCGCACGAACGCAGCTCCATAGAGCAGGGGCACGGCCGCTGAAACCTGGATCAGTTTTTTGGGAGCTTCTCTTTTTCGTAAACAATTCAAGAGCGTTTGTTTCCAGCTGGAAGGAAAAATTCTAAGAAACTTGTTTACAGATAGTGTGCAGTTGAGAAAACATGTTCTTTAAGAACTTTTGCCTCAGTTCTTCAGTGCCCCCTCACTGGGGGAAGGGGGTAAACTTGAACATGTGCGTCCTCAAGCTTTCTGATACCCAGACACAAGACCATTTGCTTGAGATTCTGTCTTGAGATGTTTGGAGTCAGTAGAATCTGGCCAACAGCCATGTCCCCGTTTACCCTTTTGAGTCCTTTTGGAAACTATTCTGTCAAAATTACAGACCTTTGTGAAGGAGAGCAGTGGAACTCTGGGGAGAGCTAATCAAGGTCGACCACCGAAAAATAAGGGCTGAGAAGTTCAGGGGTAAAGAACTCCTGTTTGCCTTTTCTGGAACCCAGAGAATCACTCGGTGCCTTCTCTAAGAACAGAACCTGCACCTCCTCTCGCCCTGGGGCAGTGTCCGGGATCATTGCCGGATGGTGTGGGCCAGGTCCGAGCCGCTCTGTGACCCACTTGGAGGGTCAGGAGGGCAGCTCCGAGGCTGATAGGAATGCTGCGAACAATTTCATCCTGCTTGGTTAATCCATCTTAATCTAGTACTCCTATCCCATCCAGAGGTCAAGTTTTAATTTACTCCTGTTACCCGAAAGGACCTTTAAAAAGATAGGTAGTTGTGTCTCAACCAAAAGCTTTTTAAAATTTTTGAACATTATAGGATTGACCTCAAACTGTATTTTTCTCACCTGGTGGTGACTGAACTGGTTTATAAAAGAGTGTAGGATCTGCGGTTAATTTTATGGAAGAGGGCAAAGGCATAAAGCTGCCTTTACCCCCACCTACAATATTTTTGGCCAGATGTATCCATATAAACCAGGGAAGATTTTATTTCAATGAGTGTCTTGTTTTCCACTTAGTAAGTGCCCATGAACAGAACTAAAATGTCTAATTCCATAAGATAGTTTTGTTAAAATCTGAATCCAAGTTTTGTTGCTTTCAGTGGTTCTGCTCTTCTGGTAGAACTAGACAACGGTGTGGAATGTTCCACAGGACAGCCAGTTCATTTAGGATCTCCTAGACTATAGGGTCCCTATGAATTGGAATTGATTATATGGCAACAGGTTTGGTTTAGACAGTCTCTGTTTAAAGGTTAGGGCTGACACCAGACTAAACTACTGTTTTTTCTGATAATGCTTATCATTTTCAAGCTGAATAGGGCTTATAATTGTTTCACGGTTATTTTTGATTATTATATAACTTTTGTGTCCATGAATCGTCTCCATGTTCCTACTGCCTCCTATGACCACTGTGGCAGTGGATCATTCCAGTTCAATGCTGGTGCCTGAGATAAGACGTGGTAAAGAGATTCCTTCCGAACTTGCTGAGGAAGTACATCATGAAACAGGATCAAACTTGCTCAAAATGAGGAAAGCACAATCCTTTTAAGGAGGATTCACTACCAGCTTAGAAAGGGTAGAAAACAAGATTACTCATCAGGATTGTGAAAAGGGTGGAATCTTGTTTAGAAGAAGGCTGATTGTGAAAGACAGGTGTAACTATGAATAAATGAAGACAGATCATATCCTGTGATGAAAAGAAAGCCAAAGCCATTGGCTTATGGAAAATTGGTCCAAGGGCTCCAATTGCTTCTCAGACTATAAATGAAGCCATTTCTCTCTGTCCATTTTTAATATCTAGCATATTACCCAAGCAAGCTTTTGTTCTAAACCACAATATGATGATGTTACTTTGTTGGCCAATAACTGTAGGATCAATCACTGAGTTGAATTTTCTGTCATTTTTCATATTGTGTCTCTTACAAACATTCCTAAATTAAAACCATGGCCAGTTGCAACACTTACCAAAATAGAAATCCCTGAGTACTAAGCAATCAGTCCTATCATCAGTCCATAATCAGAACTTAAGATGGACCTGTTGGGTGTATGGAGAGAACATTTCTAACATGTTCCTTTTCATATAGAAAAAGAAAAGGGAGTGGGGCCCTTTGTGAAATTTAACTTGGGTGCCTCAAATGTAAACTTCTGCCATTGATAACAACCATTTCATTGCCACATCGCAAGTCCTTGAAAATTAACTGAAGTATTTTAAGGAAAGTTTCTCTGCAGGGAGACTTGATGCAACACTGGATTGGGTGGATTTACATAAATTACTTCCTGATCTTGTGACTCATCTGCACTTGGCCTCTCTGTCTTTAAGGCAAGATTGGCCCAAGTTAGTATCAGTCCCAGTGGTAGAGCTCCAAACTTGAAGCTGCCAAGCAGATGTAACTGGGGAAGGCAGTCCCGTGTGCTGAGTAACTTGTGCAAAGGAACTGAAAAGACCCAAGGAGTTTTCCACATAGGATTCTGTGGGTTCAGTCAAAACTAAGTCTAGCCTTTAAGGTGAAGCGTACTTTTGCTTGTGGTGCTCCACATTTTTATTATGTGCTAAAGACTGGGTGAATAACTCAGGGGAGCAGCTGCTCTTTATTAGGTAACCTTTAGGGAACACATAAAAACATGTTCAAGGTGGTTTGGGAACTATATATTTAATCCTTATGTCAAACTAAGTTGGCTTTGTTTTTACCATTTTTGGTAAGTTGGCATTTGCTTGGGAAGGGATTGAAGACAGCTCACTTTGCTGAGACCCAGAGAAAACTCCCAGATTCTGTCCTGACTAGCCATTCCCTTATTGTGTTCATTTTGTCTTTTTCAGCACAAACCACCCATAGGAAAAGATGGATTGGAGCACACTGCAGACTATTTTAGGGGGTGTCAATAAACACTCCACCAGCATTGGAAAAATCTGGCTCACGGTCCTTTTTATTTTCCGTATTATGATCCTTGTTGTGGCCGCAAAGGAGGTGTGGGGAGATGAGCAAGCCGATTTTATCTGCAACACTCTACAGCCTGGATGCAAAAATGTGTGCTATGACCACTATTTCCCCATCTCTCACATCCGACTGTGGGCGCTGCAGCTGATCTTTGTATCCACGCCGGCTCTTCTGGTGGCCATGCATGTTGCTTACCGAAGACATGAGAAAAAGAGGAAGTTCATTAAGGGAGAGATAAAGAGTGAATTCAAGGACATAGAAGAGATCAAAAATCAGAAGGTCCGCATTGAAGGGTCACTCTGGTGGACCTACACGAGCAGCATCTTCTTCCGAGTTATCTTTGAAGCTGTCTTCATGTATGTCTTTTATGTCATGTATGATGGGTTCTCCATGAAACGTCTGGTGAAATGCAGTGCTTGGCCTTGCCCCAATACAGTGGACTGCTTTGTTTCCAGGCCCACAGAAAAGACTGTATTTACAGTTTTCATGATTGCAGTGTCTGGAATTTGCATACTGCTAAATGTCACTGAATTGTGTTATTTGCTAATTAGATATTGTTCTGGAAAGTCAAAAAAACCAGTTTAACACATTACCTAGCAACTAGATAGAAGACAGACAACAGCATGAAAGGATGAGGTAACCTCTGCTCAGCTGTCAAGGCATAGTCACCCATCTCCCAAGGTAAAGATACACGTCTTAAATGTAATCACCTGAAACCCTGTACACCTCACACAAAACTCCAACTGCCTACGATTTAAAACTTCAAAACAAAGGCTTAGTTCTATGCCTATACTAATTTTTACTAAACTTCGTGCTGGTAGGAGTTATTGTAAGTTATTTTCGTATTTTAAATAAAGGATACAGGCATTTGCTTCTCTTTCAGCAAAGAAGGGAGAGAACACCAAGTTCTAAAGAAGACACTGATAAGTTCTGTTTGTTCCTCTTAGAGTTCCCTTTGCCAATTTCCTCACATTAAAGGTAAACATAGAGAATCCTGGTTCTTTTGTTTTAGAAGTTTTAATTTCTCAACTGGACAAAGTTACCTAATGCTTCAAACTCTGTTACTCTGTTTGTTAGTGGAACTTTAAAATATCGTCTTTTGACCCATAAGATGTTCTGAAAACCATTCTATGTTCCTCCTGTTTCAAAGGCTTAGATTGTGATATGTAAGTTGTGTGTAATTAGATACTGTAACAATTTAAAATACAAATAATTGCAGTGCCACTGAGAGGCTCTCCATTGTTTCAACTGTTATGTGTCGTGTAAAAACATTTCAGCCTCTCTCAAGTGTTTATCTCATTTGAAACAAAAACAGGAGTTCTTAGTGATGACTTATGATAGCAGATGGCCTCATTTTAAAAATTTAGGTGTAATTTTTCATAAGAAATACAGACTTTGGACATATTACCAACTACTACCTGTAGAAATAGGTTGGTGCAAGACCCCTTCTCCTCCTTTAAAACCTTTGCCTTCTTCATTGCTGTGGTAAGTGATAGCCAACATCAGAAGGAACACTGATTAAAGCAGGTTGCTTGGGAATATTTTATTGCCACAGTACGATTAAATGGTACAGAACAAAATTGGAGGGGAAGTGACTGTTTTTGAAGAACATGAAAAGACTAGACTTTAAATTCTGATGTGTAAAGGTGAGGCTAGTCTACCTCAAAAGTTTGTTTGCTTCCCTCTTCAGCATCTGTCTTAGTTATCTAGTGCTGCTATAACAAATACCACAAGTGGATGACTATAACAAACAAATTTATTTTCTCACATTTTAGGGGGTTAGAAGTTCAAAATCAGAGTGCCGGCTTTAGGGCAAGGATTTCTCTCTCTGTTGGCTCTAGGAGAAGGTCCTTGTCTCTTCAGCTTCTGTTTCCTGGTCCTCGGAGATGTCCATGTGGCCTGGCATCAGTCTTCCCCCATCTCTGCATGCTTGCTTGTCCTAATCTGCTCTTTTTATATCTTTTAAGAAAGTGACTCAAGACACATCCTACACTAATCTCACCTCATTTACATAACAAAGACAACCCATTCCAAATGGGATTACATAACACCAGGTAAGAGGTTAGAATTTACACCACATATTTTTGGGGGACACAATTCAATCCATAACAACATCCAAAATTTTTTAAGTGAAAGTAGAATTAATAGGCATTTGAAAAAAATATAACTAGGGTTTAGATAAATTGTAGCAGCTTTATAGGACAAATTGAACCCTAATATTACCATTATGCTTTACATGGTTTCCAAAAAATGGTACTCAACATATTTCAATAAGGGCAAACATTTTCCTGTTACCAATAATAGCACTGTAAAAACATTTTAAAATAATAATAGCTTTAATTATATGCTTGTAACTAAAATAATTTTGTTATATCTTAAATTTCATTTAAAATATTAAAGTATAATTAATTCATACAATTAAGATCTAATACAGTTTTTAGTAGAAGAGCAGATTTTAATTTCATCTATAGCCATTTTTGTATAAGTACATTAATAGTTTATATTTCATATCAGCAAATGGGTAATGTTAACAGCATGTCTGTACACATTCTGGGATTCCTCTGCCCTGTTACAGAAAAGCCTCCATCACCAGAAAGATTGGCAGGGGAGGCAGAAAGAAAGACCATTTCTTCCCAGTCCCATGCTCACTGGCACCACTCTTTCTGGTGAACGAAGAACAGGGTGGTGCACTGACTGGAAATGCAGCATGGAGAATGCTGAGTTGGGTTTAAATGACCAGTTTGGCCACCAGATGAATCACAGAAGCTAGCATTTTAAAATGCTGTTCATGGTGAAGATTGGCCAAGGTATGAGAAATGCCCTATAAGGTGTGTTTTCTATGGGATCTTCTTTCTGACTGTTTGTATTAAACCAAAGCTAGTTGTATAAAACTGCTTTTCATTCCTTGGTGCCCATTTCCACGGGAAATAAATGAGGTGGATCAGCCTTAGTCCCTGTGTGAGTGACTACCTTCAGCCACCATGGACTCCCACAGGCCTGTCCCCAGAGAGGACCACACTAACAATTGGCTGTGTCCTTTCAGTGGTAACAGCTATTGGTCTTGGTGCTTCTTCAAAGCATTTTACACATCAATAATAACTAGTATTTTTATTGAAAACCATATAATTATTAAATAAAAGGACCAAATAAAACAGCCAACTTTCACTTGGGTAATAGAAAGGAGATAAGAAATAGTCCCTGCTTACCTTCCAAACTATTCTGCACATAGCCTGGGAAAATAACAATTTGTTGTTGTTACGTGCCATGGAGTCAGTTCTGACTAATAGCGACCCTATAGGACAGAGTAGAACTGCCCTACAGGGTTTCCAAGGAGCAGCTGGGGAAAATAACATACAACTTCTTAAATAGGTACATTCACTCCTTCAAGCTGTGAAAATTATTACTCTCAAGGTATTAAAAAGATGGGGCCAAAATAATTACTGACAACTGCCTACCACTTTAAAGAAATTATAGAGAGGTCTGGCCACATACCTGAAAATTAGAGATTGAACTCTGGAAATAATCCTGAATATATATTTTAAATCATCAATTGTAATTTGTACTGAACCAAAAAAAACACACACAAAAAAAACCAAACCCATTGCTGTTGAGTCGATTCCAACTCATAGCGACACTACAGGACAGAGCAGAACTGTCCTATAGGGTTTCCAAGGAGTGCTTAGTGGATTCAAACTGCCGACCTTTTGGTTAGCAGCCTAACTCTTAACCACTGCGCCACCAGGGCTCCATAATTTGTATTAGGTAAGAAGAAAAAATTTCACCAAGCAAATCTGTGTCCGATTGGAAGGAGTGAATCCTGGCATCACACAGTTCAGTCTTTTGAAGGGAAACCTGCCTGGGTGAGCCACTGGGGTAGATAGCCTCTAGGACTTTTATGAAACAACAGGTACAGACTTTAGCCTAACTTCCAATTCTAACTTGTACAAGATTAATTAATAAACTGGAGAAACACAATCTCAAACAACTCATCAGTAGACGTTCAACTGTCAAAATATGGTTCAAGATGGTATCAGTGTGTCAGGGTTGACTTTGAGGACAAATGTAGTATTCTACAGAGTCGGGTCCTGAACCTTGAATTGGGCTTCATTGTTAACACTGACCTAAACAATCACCTAAACAGCAGCAAGCCAGGTGCTTATATAAATAGAGTCTATAGTCAGTATTGCTATGATGCTCAACAGGTTTTGGCAGAGCTTCCAGACTAAGGTGGACTAAGAAAGACCTGGTGATCTACTTCTGAAAATCAGCCAGTGAAAACGCTGTGCATCTGATTCCTGTCCCATCATGGGGTTGGTGCAGAACTGGGCAGCATTTCATTCTGTCGTGCATGAGGTCACCACAAGTCAGGGGCCGACTCAACGGCAGCTAACAACAACAGTCAGTAGGCAGGAGCTCATTGACTTCTCTGGGCCTCAGTCTCCTCATTTTAAAATGGGCTTAAAGAGTACTTCCCAAGGTAAATGGCAATCAAATAAGATAATGTATGTAAAAGCAGTAAATAAAATACTAGTGCCACCTGGTTTCCATTAGATAGATGTGAAGCTGGAAGGATGATGGATGATATTTTAGATGGGAATGATTTAAGCAAACCTTGATAAACTGGAAACCTGAAAACTGTACACTTAAGCAAAGTCTGAAATGTAGTGTAGGAGGAAGAGAGACAAGCCACATAAGAGGAAAGAGGAATAGCTGAGTGCAAATGTAACAGCCTCCTTAATCATAAGACTGGGGTAGAAAAAACAGCATGTTCAGTACTTTTTGGGCAAGTATAAGAGCACTGGCTTTTGTAGAAGCTTTGTCCTGGACATTGTTTTTTGGTTGCCTGATCCTAGTTCTCCCCTTCTGGAGACAGGCTTCCCTTCCTAAGAGAACGCCTCTCCTCTCCCACCAAGTGCTTTGGCAAGGACACTTGGCTCAGTTTCTTTCCCTAGACCAAGAGGCCCTATGATGCAGGCCTGGCCAGCAATTACACCCCTCTTCCTTCCCTCCCCCACGCTGTCACAGCAACTGATTCAGGAAGTGGAACTTCAGATGGGATCTGGTGGAGAACTGTGCTTCCATCACAGAGGATGCGCTAAGAGTCGGCCCAGAGCTGTGGCTGGCTGTGTTTTGTACTACCTGGAGAGACCTAAGGCCTGGGCACCAATTTCTAAGAGAGAAGCAAGACAAAGGTGAAAGATTAGGTCCCTGGGGGCCCACAATACCTTTTCTGCAAATCCCATTCTATTCTGTGGGTCACCTCAATATTGTTGGATATCTGCCATGACCACAAGAAACTTCACTGGTTGGGGATTCTGTAAACATAAGAGATGAAAATGGTTCACAACGTAGAAAGAGGTTTAGTAGAGATATTTTAGGTCCCACACATGATCTAGCCTATCGTTTCAATCCCATTTCTTACTACAGCCTTTTAGCAGTGGCAGGGGGTATGGCCACACCAGGTGACACTGTCAGAAGGGGTGACATCAAAATAACTGTCTATAAAATTTTTATGTGGTGTTCAGCAGAAATTTATTATTTTTTACAAAAATATCCCTGTAGTTAGTTACAACAACAAAAATATTTTTCAAAAGCCCAGCTTACATGTATCAATATACCTACAAGGCTAAAACTCTATACTAATTTACTTTTTGAACTTTCTAATGCCCTCTGGTCTGAGCTGTCATTACCCAATTACAATGACTCTTTGAATCACGTAATTTCACCTGCATGTGCTACAAACATGCACTGTTGTTTTCATTGCCACCACGTTTTTATAGCTGCTGAGTTTGTCAAATTTTCTGGTGTTTTAGCTACAATATTGTGATAATTAGTATCTGTGGACTTATAGCAATAAGTTTTTGGAGAATCAAGTAGTAAT